GCTGCAATTACGCAATTTTTATTGCAGTGCTGGCATTGTCTCAGTGAGGTGCACATGTCGTTGTTCCTACTGGAAAAAGAAACATATTTTGCAAAATGTTTGGAAGTAGAACTTTCAGTTTTCTAGTGTTAGGCCTGCAGCAAAAACCTTATAAACTGGAAAAGTAGAGGAGATGGACTGGCTCTTTCTTCCAAGGCTGTTTCTTTCACAGACTGACTCAGTCACCGTGCTCATGTTGCTTCAGTGTTCTGTAAATCCTTTGGTTTTTTTTTTTTAGGGATCTTCCTTTTATTTATTTATTATTTCTTTTTAAAGGGAGAGATGAAGTGAATGCTGAAAGACAAAGATACATTTCCCAGTGATAAAATATTGAAATTCTGAAGTGCACCTTCTAGTTCTTCTGGTATATCTGTTTCATTGTGTTCCCTTGGTGTTATCTTCTAAAGAAGCTTGTAGTATTTCAGGGAGAGGCTGAGGTCATTGTACCAGAAGATTTTCCTGTTGTGTGCTTTTCGCAGGGATTTGAATTATGAACATGATGTTGTGGCTGAGTTTTGGATTTAGTGATAGGATGGCAAGCAATGCTATCTAATTTAAAAAACATTAAGAAAGCTGTGTGGGAAAAGAGATGGAAGAAAACTAGGCATCACTACATGCAAATCTTCAGCAAAAATTTGATCCTTCAGAATGACAATTCTTTTACTACAAAATACCAGCCAAATTCTACAGCTTTCCATGAGTCTTTTGAGATGACATTCAGATAGAATAACAGCCCATCCTTCACTGGAGAAAATTAGACTGAGAAAGAAGGATCACAGACATAGATATTTAATTTGCTCTGGAAAATCTTGTGTGCTCAAAAGTTCTGTATGCTTTCCAACTCCTTGTGTATTGTCAGCTCCAAGAATTCCTCCCTATCTTTTATTACCTTTAGAAAAAGTTTTAGTACTGTATATTTAGAGTTGTGCCTTCTAGCTTTAACAAGCACTCTTAGTGCTTTCAGGGACTGCTTACATATGTAAGTGTTGGGCAGGAAATAAAGAGAATATTTAAATGTCATTTTGGTAGTCCCAAAATGAAAAGAAAAGCAAGAAAAGTTGGAACTTAGGTGGAAATATAACATTTTGAGAAGAGGTATTAGAAGACGGCACAGATTCTGTGTAAAACTGAGTATATAATTTCTTTCCAAATTAAGCCATTGACACCAATAAAACTGTTTCTACATTTTATTATTATTATTATTTTTGTTTTGTTTTGTTTTTTTACATTAAAGCACATTGAGAAATTCTGTGAACAATTTGAAATTGAAAGATCTTAGCAGTCGGTAGCTGGATGTTTGGCACTAACGATTGACATGTAGAAATATCCCTTGTTTATCTGTTGTGAAAGCCAGCACTCAATCTGTGTTCGTATTATATTTTATGTGAATAAGCAAAAGAAAAATATCCAAACTCTGTAACTAGCAATAAATGTATTTTAATTTAAAATCAGATCTGTTAGTGTTTTTAACAACCTTGAAAAATGTTTAAATCCAATATTACTGCTTAGGAAAGTGATTTAATGAATTACATTTTTTCCCAGATTGTGCTGCACAGTTGAAACGGGGTGTGCTTGCTGCTGCTGCCAGTGCTTCCCACTGTCACACAGCAGGGCTGCTTCCGAGAAGCAGAGGTGATCAGTGGGTGTTGCTGCAGTACATGACTTCAGTAACTGCTTCTGAGAGAAACAGATAGCAATTCCCAGTCAGTGTGCACAGAACTCTCTGATGAAGTCCGTGATAAAGAGCCACAGTCTTAAGGAGAATAGTTTCCTTGCAAGCTTGCATTGGTCCTGTTAATTGAGAATCAGATTCTGTCTTAAGATCTGAAGTGGGATCTCACAATGTCTTCAACAGAATGTGTGTGCATGCATTTGAAGGAAGTATTAATCCTTGCATTTTCCTTGGCTTCAGCTTTGCCTTTTACTCAGTAGGGTCACAATCTGTCAGTGCTGGAGCAGAGAAGTGTATTATGCAGTTTTCGTACTACCACTCTGCTCAGAGGAGCTATCTGAAATTGTCACCTCCTTACTCGTCATTTCTGCTCTGTCAGTAAAGGTCAGAGCTGCTTCCTTCCAGGGCAACAATACGTTTCTGCTGCTTCTTATTCCTCATAGCTTTGCAGAGCCTCTGCAGCTCCAACAGGAATTCGGGTTCTGTCCGTCTCCACGTATCAGTAGTAGGGCTGTCCCGTCTCTCAGTGATGTTCTGTATTCTGCAGTGATGTCAAAACTGTTCAAGTTGCTATTCTGATTTTCACACTTGAACTTATAGAAAGGACAAAATGTATTAGATTTTGAAAAAATAGCCCCTAGGCAGTATTAAAAAAGAATTATTAACATTACCAGGACAGTATTATTTTGTTTTCATCTTTTAAATTTTGTTTTAAGAGTTTCTCATGATCTTCGGCTTTGGTCTGAGAAAGGAGCAGGACCACTTTCTTAGTCTTATATGGTGCATGGAACCTTCTTAAGGTTTGAGACAAGGACTGATTTTCAGTTTTCTCTGAAGTAACGGTCGTCTGAATTATTGTGAGTTACTGACATCAACTTCACTTTCCCTACAAGATATTTGGGGTGCAGGTCATTGCACTGAAGACTGCTTTAGATCATTAAGGATCACAGAATGGACTATCACAATGTTGTTCTCTGACAGCAAATAAAAAATCAGTGTATGAGACAGTTCTGTACCGTGTTTCATTTCACACAGTGTTTCCATGAGGGCATTGTTACTCTCTCATCATTCCTAATGACTGCAGTGTGTTGAGTCATGGAGTTGTTTTTATAAAGCTTTTGCTTTGTCCGTTGTTTGTTCTCAAGGTTACATTATACAGAAAATAAAATATATATTTTTTTCCCTTGTCCAGGCTGTGTAAAAAATATTTGTAATTATTTTATGAAAATTAAAACAGCTCTGCTTTGAGTAGGAGGTGGTATTCCTGCTTCAAGCATTCCTAACTATAAGGAACTGCTGTTTTTTCCTCTGAAAGAAGGTATATGAAAGAAGTCATGAATTTGAGATCTTTCAAAAGGTGGTAATTCTTCGGTGCTCTTTCATTAGTAATGTTATTTAGCTATTCACCATGAATTGCAAGCCATTAATAATTATCAGAAGGCAGTTTTGTTGCTTAAATAATTTTGAAGACGAAAGGGATTTCTATTTTCCAAAGGTGAGAAAAGTCAGGGTAAAAAATACAAGGAGGTGTGAAGAGAGGAAAGGACAGATTTTTTTTTTTTTTTTTTTTTTTTCTCCAGTGGATTTGCATTACGGATAAGAATAAGCGAGTGATTTCAATTGAAGACATTGTAAACTACTGTTTTGCTTTGATTGAAACTCTGCCCTACTGATGATTTTTATTGCTATGCTTATTTTGTTTTTGTTTGTTTCAAAGCATGGGGACAGCACTATTTGTTTTTTTGCCTTCATTTGGAATGCCTTGGTTTTGTAGATTCAAGTGGGAAGTATGTGTTAATTGCAGAGAGGTATTAGAGAACTTACTAGTCAGCCAAGCTGGTGTTTCTCGAATCTTTTGTGCACTTAGAACTTAAGCACTTAGATGTATTCTTCAGTAGTTTGCTTTGTTAAGTGCTGGCAGACTTCCATTCAAGAACAGACAAAGGATGCTTGTTCTTGTTCTTTCCATTGCAGAAATTGCAGGGCTGCTTTTTTCTTTTTTTCTTTTTTTTTTTTTTTTTTTCCCTGGAATGGCAGCTAAATGCAGTTAAGTTCAGCAGTAAGGATACTAACAAGAAATACTTATTGTTTTAACAATGTTCAGGTGTCTTGTGGAAAGGATTATTGAAGTCATTGTGGAGTGAATTTTGAGTCTATCTGAAACAGCTGTAACTTCTTGCTTCTAGAGAAGAGTAGGTATTTAAGGAGGAAGACTGAGGTCCATCAAGTGAAAGGTCTCTTTTGGTCAAATTGAAGAGTGTAAAAGAAGTTTATGAACAGTTACTGAACAATTGAAGTATCTAACATAGAAAATCTTAGTTTCTCTGAGAGGGCTGTGTAAATTGCCAGGCTTTAGAACCTGTGCAGGAGAAGGGCTCTTACCAGATGGAGAGGGAAAGAAGGCTAGAAACATCTTTGTTTATGCTCCAAATATCCACTTAACTCCACTTGGAGTCTCTGTAGAATATAGTTTTTTCGAATATTGGCTGATGCCAAATAGTAGACTTTTTTTAATTGCTACATGTTCTTAGAAGAGAAAAAAAAAGATTGTGAAAAAAGATTGTGTACACACAAGGAAGCTTTCCAGGTACACAGTTAATAAAAAGCTGCTGAGCATTGTGGTTTGATTCATGTTATTATGCTTAGGATTATTCCCGTGTTAGATCTATCCGCACAAGATTTACTGATGGTACAGATGTTTGTCTCCACTTCTGAGGGAGATGCCTGATCCATGTTAAGGTTTATTGTTGAGGCACAAACGTGGTCTAAACCTTTGATGAAAAAGTTCCTGACAGTGTTTGCTTGTTAATGTGAAACTAAAATATTGGTTCATTTGCAAAGCACTGTGGAACAAAGGAAAGAATAATTAAGTTTCATATGAAGGGATTTGAGTATTAACCCAGGATATGAAGTACGCATCTTTCTTTGTTCATCCTCAGATTTATTTTGCCACCTTTCTTTAAGACTTCCTCTTTTGGGCTTCTTCAGTATAAAATGGAAGAAGTAATGCTATCCTAATTTGTGGCGATTTTTTTTCAGGATAAACTGATTGCTGATTATTAACGCTTGCAGTACAGTGATAATGTGAATGAAGAGGACTCTTGTCTGCTTGCCCACCAGAGTGGCATAATCTTTTTGGAACAGTATTAGTTACAAGTAACCAGCATACACAATATTTTAGTAAAAATAGGCAAGTGTCTGTAGAAATATATTTTGTTCTTTCAACTGTGTGCAGTCAAAGGAAGATTGAAATGAGACGCATTAACAAGCTCTTCTTTTTCCTTCCTAGAATTACAACAACAGCTGCTTGTATGATGGACCTACGGAGATATCCGCTGGATGAACAGAACTGCACGCTGGAGATTGAGAGCTGTAAGTACTTCTGCAAATCCTACTTATTCTGTGGTCAACTGCTTCAGACATTTTTATTTCCGTTTATTTATATATTTATTTGTTTTATATGCTACTAACCTAGTTGTCTCTGTCTGATGACATTTAGATCCTTGTAAACACATGCAAAAAAAAATAGCTTTCCAGATGGATTAGTAATTTGTGGCGCAAGGATTAGCGAAAGTTATTCTGCTTTGACAGTTTTCAGCTTTAAAAGTCTCATTCAAATGCCTTGTTGGAGTTCATGTGAGGAGCATGAGGATTATTATCAGTTCTTTATCCTCCCTTACAGCTGAACTATGTTGCAGCTTCTTTCCATTTATAAATGATGGCAAAAGGTTAAGACTGTCTTTTCAATAGGTGTGTTATGATTTGTTTGTTTTTCTAACCTCTCTGTGTTTAAGTTTTCAGTGCATTCAGTGCAACTACTTATATATTCTGATTTCATAGCTGATGTCTCTATCAAGATATCCATGTAGATAAAACTTGTGTTGTGAAATAGAATTTCAAACCTCTTTTCACTGAATCTTTAGCAGACTCTAAGTACATCAAGTCAAAACAATTCATGTTCATTTATGTAAAGACAGCATTTTGCATGTGCAATACTTGATGCTAAATAAGATTGAATCAGCAGTTTCAAGATACATGTCCTTTTTCAAGGGAACCATATGTAACAGATGGAGTCTATTAGTAAGTTGAATGGAGCACGCAAATGAAAGGTAATGGCATTAAGATACAGTCCACAAAACTGTATTTAAAAAATACCATATGTATTTTAAAAGATTGTATGGGACTTTTTTGTGTATGTGTGAGCAAAGTTATTGCAGCTTTTGTAGCAGTCTGAAAAGAGCTTGGTATGGTTGAACTTCTTTTTAGTGATCTAGAAAGCATTTAAGAAGATGATTTAAACTCAGGTCTAGTTTTCATTCATTTAATGTAATTTAAAGATATTTCAGAATCTCTTTCTGGATTGCACTTGTGACACTGCTGTCTCATTTACATTCATGTAGTAAGCAATATAAGTCTTTACCGTTAAAGTTCACCCCTTCTCTAGATTGAAACACACAAACATCAAATGTGATGGACTTTGCTCTTTGGAGAAGGAATAAAATCTTTGGGTTTTTTTTTTTGCAGTTGGTTATATCACTTATATTGATAGCATTTGATTTGGAATTTTATACTTGCAGCCTTTAAAAATCAGCCTTTTATGCTGATAGTGTGTAAAAGAATTTTGTGCTCATACAACTGTATTTAGGTTTGGAGAGATTCTTGTATTTGTTGCACTTGGTATGAAACATACAGTATTCATTATAGCATTGAAAAGGAGGATGCTTAATTTCCCATAGCCATTAGGATGCTTATAGGAAAGCTCCTCTGTGGCTCTATCTCTTAGCTCAGTTGTAGCATTACAGCAGTAAAGTGGATTTAAAACAGGATACTGTGTTTAGCTGGCCTGCCTTTCATTGCAGTAATAAAGGTCATTAAAGAATGTGGATAGAAGTAGTGCTTGAACTGCACTTTGAAAGAATTTCATGCTGCTTTAGAAAGTTATTACTCTTTATATGTGTCACTCTGTCCAGGTAAAAATCTGAATAATCTTTATAAATTGCTTCAGAGAAAACGGTAGTAGGTAGGTAGAGTAAATAAGACTGAAAGTGACTTTTGAGTCATTTTATGCAGATACTCAAGTCATAATCACTGATTAATCTCAATAATCTCCATGCTGAAAGTAGCTTATTTTGTTGGCCTGCTGGTTCTGTTGGACACTTTCACTAGTGCTTTTGTGTGATGGTTAGAAAGACTCTAAATTCCATGTCAGGAAGCATAAAATTGTATTCACTGCTCGTGTCCGCTGTCCTTTTTTTAAAAAAATTTTTTTTAAAGTTAATGTCTTCCTCAGCCCTGCTGTAGTTGTTATGATATATCTAAAGAATGTGGTCTCCTCATAAGCTTCATATCATAAAACATGCACATTCCAGTTCGTTTTAGCTTTGTCATATGAGACCCTTCTGTTATTTTATGTTAAAAGAAATGCAGAATTAGCAAATGCTAGTTTCTGCAGATGCTGTAGTTTATCATTCTTCTTTAGGAACAACAAGTACCACAGACCATGCTCTAAATTCTCTGTTGCATTATGGCATTTACCCTGCCCTTTGTCATCAATGTGGTCCAAGAGCCACCTTTACGTTTTTACTCACCTGCATAACTTCTTCAGATACTAGCCTTTCCTGGAACATTATAGTGAGTTTTCCCTTCCTCACCCATCTTCCAGCAGTGGGATTTAGCTCTTGGTGGAAATCTTTTTGCATATTCAAAGGACGCACGACTTAATATTTTACAACACTCTTCACATAAATCAGCGTTCTTAATTTAACTACAGACCTCAAAATTCTCCAGCTCTTCCTATTTTTTTTTGTCTGTACAGTACTTTCAGGTCTTGTCTCATTCAAAATTATTCACACAGAAATGCTAACAAATATTAATGATAACAAAGAAAGACTTACGTTGCAGTCATTCTCTATACTGAGCATTAGCTATTCTTTTACATTTTTTTACACATTATTTGTCTTTACTAATTGTCTTCCCGCAGATAGCCCCATATCAAACATTTTTATAAAGTACAGGTTAATTGTACTTTGATTGGAAATGCAGAAAGGATCTGGCTATAAAGATCTAGCTCAAAACCCTTTGGAGTTTAGCCATGATAGATTTTTATACCATTTCCATGCTTATTATTGTGTCTAATGCGCTTCCATTCTTTCCCTTCTTCCTTTATCTCTACTCCTATTATTGATGCCAGTTGTCTAGCTTCTTTTTAGATGCTTGGATTACTTTTTTTCTTTGTGTAATTGTAGTTACTGAAATATGGGGACAGTATCAATTTTTGTTAATGTAGATTTCCGTAGATCTAGACTAATTCTCAAGTTAGGAATTATGGTAGAACAGGGTTTTATGTTAAAGCAAAAACCTAAAATGGGAGAGGCTGTATAATCTGTCAAGGTACAAGAGATGTTACTTTACCTGCTTTACTATTGGGACTAGATGTTGAAAACGTAAGAGAGGATATTTTTTGTTGGTTCAGAGAGTATCAGTTTTGAGAGCTTTTTTTTTTTTTTCTTCAAATAGGTAGCTTGTTTCTCTGTGATCATTTTTTGATTTGCTCAGATGTAAAGGGGGCCAAAATATGTAGAATGCTTGGTTTTCCTTGGTTTTACACTTCCAAACTTTTACAGTGTCTTTTCTATAGTGGTGTAATCTATCCACCCTGCATTTCTTTTCTTACTTCCCAACACACTAAGTTGCAGGGTTATAATACCAGAAGGAAATCAGTTTTTCTCTGCATTCATTTCTTAGATTCCCAACTTGGAGACAGCAGAGATCTTGTTCTTTTTTGCTTGTGTATTGACTTTACTCAGTCAAATACTCTCCTTTTTGCTTCCTATTTCAGCCATTGTAGTTTGAAGGTTTGTTGAATTTCTGATGACGCTCTTGAAAAATTTTCTCTATCTGCTGCTTTTCTGAAGGAAAAAGCAATTCCTTAGCAAATCAGTTAAAAGACTAAAGGGAGCTAAAAAGCAAAAAGTAGTACTAGGAAGTTGGCAGAACATTGCCTTGTATTCATAAACGTAAATAAAATATCATGTTGCACATTCTCTAGCATTACAGAGAGAAATGATTGTGATTTGAATGTTTTCAAATGTAATTATTTTAGATTCATCTGGTAAATTTGGACTTCTGTCAGTTTTAATTACATAGTGACATACAGCGATGTTAAAGTTCACTTTAGTTTTTTTCTCTCATTTCATAATGTCTTTGGCACAGCTATATTTATGTTATATTGGAGTATAATTCAGAATACGCCTGCTGTGTGGCAATGATATTTTACGTTTCTTTATTGCTTCTGAATAAACAAGAACACACTGAGTTTCTTTTCAGAAATCTATACTCAGAAACATTTTCCACTGTGTGCTGAAGTTTTGCCATTGAAAGAAACATATTCTACTGTCTAAAGCCAAAGCAAATGGGGCACTTGAAACCGGGAAAGTTGGCAGCATTAGAACAGCATGTTCAGCAGGGGAGGAAGGACTGCTTTGGTGATGAATGAAGAATGATTGTTTTGGAGACATTTACTTAACAGCCAGGGATATTTTGATCAGAAATACCTTACAGATCACTTTTTTTTTTTTTTCAGTATGATGGCAGAAATGCCACAGTAGCACGCTAAATAAGATCAGCTAAAAACTTCAATTGGGTAACAATCTAGAAAAAGGCAGGAAGAACCACAGTGGAAGAATATCATTCCTCCCAGTGGCTGGATAGCCCAGTATCAAACACTTTCTAATCAGACTCTCTGAACGCTCATCTCAAAAAAGAAAACAACAACAAAACCATTCATTTTTGTGCCATCAAGGTGACTTTATAAGCACGTTCAAAGCACTGAAAAGAAATTGAAAATACTTCTTGTTGAACTACTTTGGAGGTGGCTGATCTGGCCATCAGTCAAAGCTATAATCAGGTCATGGGACAAAGGGTACAACCCCAGGAGCCGACCACGGTTTTGGGTTAGAGGTGGATGTGCCTGATGCTGAGCAAGAGGCTCTGCTGTTCCTGAGGGGACAGGATGTTTAGTAGGGGAGGCTACCAAGAGAGTATATCACTTTGAATATTTACATTGCAAGTAGAAAGCTGAATGCATGATGTTTGGGCCACTGAATATCAGAATCTAAATAGTTGTTCATTTATTACTCTTTTCATTTATCAAACCTAGCATGTCCCCTTTGTTCCTTCAGTTAAGTAATTTTTTGCATAGCAGGCGTTGTACAGGATCACATGCTTCCATGAGTAGAAGCTGACCTCATTATCAAAGTGCACCTTTTTTCCTTCTTGATTATCATTTACATGTTGAGATGTCTTAATGTCTTAATTTGGATTGTAATGTGAATTCCTTGGGACAGGTGCTACAGACTGTATTTGTCCACAGT